TGCAACTCCGGGCAAGGTTCTTCACCAACAGGTTGATCCCACTGTGGAATAGGCTGCCAGAACACATGGTCAAATGTAGCACTGTAGTGGCATTCAAGACCGCACTGGATGAGTGTTGGAGAACAGTCTACCCGGAAGCCGCCTATTGAGGAGTAAGGAGCTAGCCGGCAAGGTTTTATGTTACAAATGTTGAAGTATGCTAGAGAAAGGTGTTTTCTGTTAGGTATTTTATATGAATCTACCAGGTGCCAACATTTTACATTTTATGACAATTCTGCGAGGTGTCAACGGTTAGGATCAGGGTCCTTCATACTAACCTATAGCAGCTGGGTCCAGGATTAGACCGCTGAGTCTCATCTGTCTATTTTCAGAAACAACCCAGCTGGGAACGTATACTGAGGACAGAGACAAGTAGACCCACCAACGGTCGATCGCTGGAATCGGCAATAAACAGTGTTGGAAGCTACAAACATCCACCAAAAACACAAACATCTGGATGCTCGATTGGCTGGAAGCCACATTTCGTCATGTGCATACTGAACTGAACTGGACTGAACCAACATTGAAAGGCTTCTCTGCCTACTGTGAGTTGAATTTGATTGGAACGAGTTTGCAGCTTTAGGAGAAGAATACTTCCGCCAACGATTGGTTGGCGAAACCCTTTCCGTCATTTGATATCTAACTTGAACTGACCTGACCCAAGAATAAAAGATATTCACAAATGCTGTAACCTTGACAGACGCACTTGTTTGAACGCATCAAAGTTGTCTACACTCGTCCCGTTTGCTGCAAGTCTAATTCCAAATTCGGCGAGACAATGGGTGTTAAATGGGTTGGTTTCAATCCTTCCTTTTAACTTCTTGATATTAGTTCCCTGTTCGTGTAACTACTCCGGAATCGGTGCTGGAGTTCAAGCTTAAGCAAAATTCTAGTGGCCGACAACTGTTTAATCAAGTAAGATTGGTCCTTGTTGGCTGACAGTATAGGTATGCAACACCATTGGCTTGCGAGAGGTTTGGTTTTTTGGACTGCGTTACGTTGATTCCAAAAATGTGGAGAAGTGGGTTAAGCTGGATAAGAAGATCTCGCCGAGCAGCAAGTCGAAAGATGCCTGTATGGACTTTACTTTCCGAGTGAAGTACTTCCCTGAAGAGGTTTCTGAAGAGCTCATTCAGGATGTTACTCAACGTCTCTTCTATTACGAGGTACTCCGATTTTCAAGCTAACCACAGCCCTCAAGATTAAAAATAGCATTATTAGCGGGCAGTATTATACCTCCCCGGACAGCGCCCTGCTATTGGCTTCTTATCAGGCCGTTGTTCGTCACGGCAAGTATGATCCTGCAGTACACACAAAAGGGTTCCTTAATATTCCAAACTATATTCCACAACAGTAAGTTGTCCAAGACTTACCCATGATGCATGAGTCACTTCGGTTAGTCAGTTTGATGGATTCATTCTTTCACGTTCAAGCATTATTTCTATCCTTTATCGTACTGCTTGCTAAGCCTGATTTGCTGTTCCTGCTCAGCTGTCATGATCCACTATTAACCATCCTTTTATGTTTTTCCTATTGCGTGAATGACCCACTGTTCACACTTGTTTCCCCATAAATTTAGCGTTTTAGACCAACACACACTGACCCATGAGCAGTGGGAAGATAAAATCGTACAGTGGTACAAGCAACATTCGGATTTATCCAAACAAGATGCAATCATGGAATACCTGAAAGTTGCACAGGATCTGGAGATGTATGGTGTTACTTATTTTCACATCCGCAACGTCAAACAGACGGAGCTGTGGCTCGGATGTGACTCACTGGGACTTAACATTTACGACCTTGAAGATAAGTAAGTACTTTCACCTGTTATTACATTTTGACATTTGTTGAAATAATCACGTTAAAGCTGTTCGAGCGTTCTTTTTATGCACTTAAACTCTCATCCAGTATGCTTCAATGCATCCCGAACAAAAGAGGAGGCTGAGGTAATAAACCCTGTTACAGCAAGAAGAGAAAAATAAGTGTTAGCTGTCCGTATCTATAATGAATGCATCATCTCAGCTGTAAAACCACAGGTAGTGCAGCAGTCTACGATAAAAGTGGACAAGCTATCTACAGTAGAAACCAGCGACCTAACTGATGGGCGGAACACTTCAACGAGCAGTTCAGCTGACGACACTAACCAGACAAACTCATATTTTCTAATTGAGGCTCAGCGGGCAATGTCGTGTGATCCTCCTACTAAGGCAAAAGTGCGATCTTGCATTCAATCCCTGAAAAAAAAGAGAAGCAGCAGGACCCCGACGGGTTTCCTCCTACTTTTCAAGATGGGGGCGACGACCTATATCCCATCACTGATTTAACATATAGTTACAAGAGCGCATTCCCTCATTCTGGAGCGAATCACTGGTCGTTTAATTTTTGAGGAGGCATCTCACAGCGACTAAACCACAGTGAAATGAGTTTGATCCCAGTCGTCACCAAGTTATTAGCCTCCGTCATACTTTGACCTCTGACACTCGCGAACAACAAACAGGATTTCGACCAAGTCGCGGTTGTATCGATCAGTTCTTCACACTGCGTCAAGTCGTCGAGCTACGCTATACACACCGTCGACTGACGGTTATGCTGCTCCTTGACCTACAAAAAGCATTCGACTCGGTTGACCGTAAAGCCCTTATGGGTTCTTTCCTTCCCAATGGAATGCCGTAGAAGTATGGGAACTTACTGTGAGAGTAGCAACAGTTAATCCATTCCTCTCCTATGTGCAAAGACTTCGCCATTAAGAAAACAGGATCTAAACAGATTGTCGGTGTTCAAACACCGTTGTCTACACAGAATTGCACGAATCTGATGAGGAAACCGGACAAGCAATTCTAAGGTTAGGCGGAGAGTTTTAGGTTATGGCGGTCGTCCACTGAAACAGGTGGTCGACCTCCATAGACTACGCTGGTTGGGACGTGTTGCGCATGTCATCATTATCATCATCGTACAGCGAAATACAGTGAGGTGAACTTCACTGACCGCTGCCAAACTCACAATGCATACAAGATTAGTGGTAAAATTTAAGGTGGACTGGGAGTGGATCTATTTTGAGGAAGGGAGAAGATCAGCCACTATGGTCAACACTACGCAATCGCACTCTGCATACATACCGTTTCAAGCATTCTGATCTGATAAGAAACGACAACGAGCGCCATTGCTGTCGGTTCGTTGTCATATCCTTCAATGTCTCCAACCAACCAGTTGTGGAGTCTTTCGGACCCCAACCTGGAAGGCGAGAGACACCTAATCTACCTAATGGCTCTGTGCATTTATTCATGCCCCGTCTCCACGTCATCTGTTGACCTTTACGTGGTTTCCTCCAGCCCGTATTAGCCACAGCAAATAAAGCGCGGAACACTCACGGGAACATTCAAGTGAGATCCCGTTCATTGAGTGCGTTTGAAGAGTGTTAAGTTATAAGTTTGGGGAAAAACAGAAAGTGGGGTGTTCCACAACTTGGAACTAGGGTGAAGAAAAGATTGGAGCGGAGGTACGATATCTGGTGACCGCTAAAGATGACTAGATACCTGTGTACGGGATGGGCGGGCAGAAGTTACAGGAAGAGACACTGCTGAGGTAAACTCCGAAGAACAAAAACCATAGTAACGGTAGAGTAGGGGACAATACAACAACTGCCCAATAATGGGCTTGTAACTTCATGTTAGGGATCATCGATCAGCGGGATGGCCTTTCGCTGAAAACAATCACGAAGGGAAAAAGAAGACAAAGCCACACACAAGTGACTACAGTATTCAAGAGTGGGATGGATTTGAGGTCTGTACAGTAGAAGAGGAGCTAAGTGAAAAAACGTCTAGCGCTAGATAAAAAACCAACTATGCGCGCAGCACAATAAACAAGCTGAGCTATAAAAAGGGAATAGTGTAGAAAAGCCATAGGTAATCCAAGAATGGAACGAAGTCGAGTAGAATCAACAGACAAATTGAAGGGAGAATGAATAAGAGGTTTTAGAACCATTGGATGAAACGTGATTGACATTGCCCCGTGATGTGTTCCAGATCGGAGTCTAGTGATCCTTTAACTGCACTCCGGTCATGATCGGTTGGTTTTGGCATGGCGTGTAATGCGGTAGGAGGGAACAGTGGATGGTGGCGTAATTGGCAAAAGAATGGATTGAACTGGGAGTTTAGGAAAGGTCATTGGTAAATAGAAGAGAGTGGGAAACATCAGCATCCACAGGGAACGGCTGAGATAGAACCCCATCAACTCGGACGGAGATCGCTCGCTTACTGAGGAAAC